GGGGGGGGGGGGTTAGTAGTTATAGAAAGATCTTATCGATCCTTTTCATTCATACCCTAACGTATCTGTGTGTGCATGCCCTCATATCGACACTATTTGATTTTGAAAGCGCCTAACTTATGCAAGTTCAGGGCATATTTCATAAGCCTAGCTAGAAATCATGTTCTAGAGTGCATTTCCAACGAGTTGTTTGGGCTTCGGTTATTGTATTCCATCACTTTTATCACTTGCTTGTGTTCGTTTGCTTTTATTGCCTAACATGTATTTTTGCATCACATTTAGTTAATATCTTCGAAAGAATATATATATGTCTATAGGTATATAATATATACCTATAGTAGAGGGCTTTGTAGTGGGGTAATTATGTTTGGTCTTTAAGTAGAGCGTAAGACGCAATCGGTAAAATTCGAAATCGATACGAAAGTCATTCTTCGCAAGACTTATTTCCGATGCGTGTTTCTGTGGCCAGGTATTCATTGATCCACTAGTTAGAATTAATCGTTCGAAAACCAATTATCAGGCATTCACTAAATAGAGCGATCAGGTACGCTATTCCGTGTAGATAGAAAAAGATTAGATGTTTTAATGAGGATCATTTTAACTTCGGGATGACTTAGTAACACCTTTCCTTCCCCAATGTTTAGTATTTTCCTATTCTTCTTTTTGACTCACCTTTTCTTTTATGTATATAAATTTATTACTTCTGGGAAGATTGTACGAGGGTGGGTCAAGAAGCTGGCAGACAAATGCCTAAGCTTTAAGTCAAACAAGAAATTGGCAGAATCAAGCATGTCTTTGGAACTTCCTTAATAGCATACAGCCCTCGGATCACTCGATCTAAGGTCAGGATTAAGGGAGGTTGCATCTTAAAATAGCTAGCAATTTTCACCCCTTCAAGTGCCAAATTTTGAGATCATAGCTAACGCAAAACTTTTAGCTAAACTAAATTTGAAATCTGTTCAGATCATAGGAGCTTTTCGATTGGTTTGTGGGAACTGTGCCATGTAAAGCAGTCATTTACGATTGTCTTACACGCTTTAAAGAGGGAGAATACAAATTGATGACGACCCACAGCAGCTAGAAATGAAGACAAACAGAAAACGATCATCTCAAGTTATTATGAAGACGTTTTGAAGAAGTTGAAGACATCCCTTGTCCAAAAGAACGGTGCGAGAAATTGCACAGCCAAATTTTTCATTATAGCAATGCCTCTGCGCGTTCTTTAAGAGCTGTTAGGGCCCTGTTGCGCGAATTTCGATGGGAAATACTTCTATATCCGCCTTATAGTCTAGACCTAGTTCCCTCAGACTTTTTTGTTTCCAAAACTGGAAGAACACCATAAAGGAACCGGATCTATGTCTTTAGATGAAGCGAAAAGCATTTAATTTTATGCTGCCATAGACAGTCCCCCTAACTATTCCACCATGAGGGAATTTGCAGGTGAAAATATAGTTTACAAGTGTATTTATAGCAATGAAACTATGTAGAAAATGATTATAATCGCTTGTAAAATGAATAAACCATGCAATTTGTCTGTGAAATTCTTGACGCGCCCTCCTATGTTGACTCTTTAAGATTATCTCAGAAGCCTATTGAAGTATGCTGTAATGGGAAACCCGTGATTGCTCTAACTGGAAAATATAAGGTCCAATTCATGGCATTAAGGGCAATAAAATATCTTTTTTCGCTAGTCATCAAGCCTTGTGTTTATTTCCTATTGGGAGTACCTAATTTTATTGATTGATGCCCATTGTAGAACCTTTGATTGCAAGGTTTAATTTAATTGGTGGTAGATGTATGATTAGTAGCATCATTTAAAGACGTCCTTTTATTTAGTGAGCTATAGCAAATTTTTGATGCTCGGTCAATTCGGCTTATAATGAATGACTTTTGGCCGTTTGAATTAAGTTAACTTAAAGCAGTCAATTTTCATCAGTTAACAACCTCCCCCCCTTCCTTGTCACTACATTGATGTTTAAATTAATCCCTGTTTTTTTAAGGTTTCTTATGCTTTTCAACTCCATTTTAGGTGCGCTCCCTAACCCTGGACAATTGGGAGCCCGAGCTTTTGGAGGTGATGCGCAATCTAGGGAACAATCTAGTGGCCAATGTCTACGAGTCCAATCTCGCTGCCTTATCCAATACTTCTAACTCTCAATCTCCACTACCCCGTCGACCGCATGCAGGTGAACTCAACACGCAACTTCGTCGCTCTTGGATTGAAGCAAAGTGGGTTAAACGGGTCTTTGTACGATCCTTTGTCCATCCCAGTGTGACAGTTTGGCTGCTGGATCTCTACCGCTCCTGGCTACTTCAAGCTCATTCGCGTAGGGTTTCTAGGGCACGGAACTCGCCTAATGGTGCAGCAAAGGGAACTCTACCTTACTTGTCACCGTCTGCGCCTTCTACGCCAGGGTCAAAGGTCACAAGATCGCATCGTCCTCGATTAGTGGATAGAAGACGTTTCTCGACAGTTGTTAGGGGGTCTACGGCGAGAGCTCAAGTTACACTGGGTAAGTACCCCCTTTTGTCTTGCCTTTGCATTAGATTCCAAAAACGAAATTTATTAGTTGTTCTGTATTTTTACAATCCTAATATTCGCAACCCGTCCAAATCCATTTAATTTGCAGATGAAAGTGTATTCCATCATCTAAACAATTGTGCGGTGTTTGCGTGTTTATTGCTAACGATACTGATCTCTTGGTTGGTATGGGCCAAGATTTATGGCTAGTAAAAATTTAATTTCCAAATATTGGCAAAGTAATACCAAATTTCGAACCCCCTTATATTAGGTTACAACAATTAGCGATCAACCATTATCTATCACCACTGACGACCTTTTTGCTACCGAAAGAAAAGTCTTCGGTTATCCAATAATCGGTAGATTTCTACCTTCTTCTTTCAATGCGTGCTTGAGAGCTTATCTAGGGAAAGCAAGGTTCATTCCATGCTTATGTCATCAATAATTTTTTCTCATTTTCTGCATTCATTCCTCTATAGGATATCTTTGCTCAGTAAAGTTTGATAAGCTGGATTTTACACTGTAAAAATCTAAATTTGGGGCATACACCCGCAATCGTCACATTTAGTCTAGGCATTGCAATCCTACCTACTCGGATTAAGATTACGCTTACGAAATTGCAAAGCGCTGCATGCAGATTAACCCTCAATGGAGGTATTATTATTCTTATCAAAATCTGGATGGATATGAAGATATTTCTCTGCTGCATTGTTGGACAAGTACATCACCTTATAGGAAACAAGTCTCAATACCTGATCCCTCCTCCATTAATGAAGTCAGTTTTTTTCTCCTGGGTGAATCAGCATTAACTGGAGAAGGTCGAGGGGGGGTTGTTTGGTCGTTTGTCATTTTATCTCAGTTCGTAAACATCTCGTGTGGTTTTAGGCATTTCAATCCGTTTTGGGGATTTAAGATACAATCACACCCACAGATCAGTGGGTTTATTTTGTGAATGAAATCAGGTAATCGATTTTCCAGCCATAACTGATTTAGAAGTGTAGTAAGCGGATTAGTTTGACCTTGGGCCGGGGGGTGGGTAACATTTCCTTTATAAATTTCTTCCAGCCTTTATGAATCAAAAGCATTATATATGTATTTTTTGGATTTTGTATTGCACTCTGAAGTGGTCTTTACACTGATCTAAATATCCACTTGTTTACTTATCCATCACCAACTTCGCACTCAAATAACTTGCTTCTGAACCCCAAAACGTGTCGAAAACTTGTCATGCTCTCGCATATTGAATCCTTTTGTGGTTTATATTACACTACCGATGTTCCTTTGAAGGAGTTGTAATCTTTCTTCCTTCTGAGTGAAGCTTTTTACGGGTAAACATTTTTTTAAAGTTTTTTTTTCGCATTCCAAGCTTTTAAATCATTATTGATCGCCTTCTCTATAGCAAATTGTGGCCAATTGGCGCTCTTCTATGCTTTGGACACATTCTACTCATAAGCCAATCAAGAAATAATGTTGTGAGATAGGTTATTACTTTCCCTTGAGAATCAATTGAAATTGAGGTCAATTTGTTCCCAATAACTACCTCTAAATAGCGGATGTTTATTAATCATGTTGAATTAACACCGATAGGTTTTCTCCCTAACATTTCGTTTAGTTGGGGTGGGGAGGGGAGGGGGAGGGTTAAAATAACTTTTCTTCATTCAACATTCTTCTCAAATAATTCTCCATCTTGTACTCAGGTTGTAACATAGAATCCTTTTTTAAATAGGATTATTGTTAGATCTAATTCATTCGTGGACTGAGTACTGGAGACGTTGGCGTTTGTTCTATTTGTAAACTGGGGATCTTGCTGAAATTGTTCGCATCAATCCTTTCTCTCTTGTAAACTTCAAAATTTTACCTCCGATCTTGGTATTCAGCGCGATCTTAATCTATTTTCAAAGGGTTTGCGAGGTGATTCAAAATCCATTCTACAGGCGGAAGAATCTCCGAAGGCGATATGGATGGTCTCTGTTGAGTATCTAAGGTTTTCGAAAATTTGACTAAAATATTCCTTGTACTGTCGAACGATCAACGAAATGAAAACTCATACTCGCATATGGATGCACCCAGTGAAACGAATATTACTGCCAATTCGGAATTTAACTTTATGAAATTTTTTCCTTAAACAGATACTCTTTGTGCACATCTGGATTCCCTAGTCTTTGCTGACTCTGCCCGTTCTACCCCTTCTGCACCTCCCTCCAGCGTTCGAGAGAAGGCTGCCTCTCGGTTGGTCCTAGTAGCAGGCGCACGACTGGGCTGTGCTCCTCTAATCCTCGCTGGATTAGCTCGTGGTGCCTCTCCAAACGCCTTCCGCGAAGCCGCCGAGTGGGCCCGCCTCTATCGCCTCCCCCAACCCTCAGATGGGGACCCCCTTGGAGCTCTAACTCCCCCCCTAATTTCCGCTGTGACTGGAGGTCGTATTGCTGCATGTGAACTACTACTCACTAATGGTGCTGATGTAAGTTGCTCATATTAAATTATTTTTCCATCACGCGGGAGAAAGCGCCTTATGATCCTTCGTAATTTTCATCTAATAATCTAAATTTTACACATGCATGCGAATAGCACCTATAACGGTGACTAAGCTCATTAGGTATTACACGCTTGGATTAAGCCTATTTTATATAAATTGTATTACGTCAGTTGGGTTTCGCACAAACAAAATGACTGTTTACTGAGTGATCATATTTGGTTTTAAAGTCAGTAGCTAAATAAAGTAAATCTCTACGGTAAGCGCTGGCATATATCTCTCTCGCCTCTTTTTTCCTTTCTTTAATTCAATTATTTTTGAAATTTACACTCATTTCTTGCTTTTTTTCAATATGCGTAGAGTCATATCCTGGTACGAGTATTATGGAAAATTCGTATTCTATAAACCCCTTCTTGTTGACTAGAATTAGCCTCTTCAGTTGGCCAATCATATCATTCAATCTATGGACTTTTGACTTCACAGAGGTGGGAGCGTTTGTCCGTTTCAACTCCTGATAATTTTCTAATTGCTATTGCATACTTTAAAGTCTTCGAGTTTGACTGGTTTTTTATTGATTTTTATCTTTAAGCCTTTCCTTTGATGAGCTATTAAGATAGCAATTTTGATTGGTTATTAGGTTGACTTGAAAAAAAGAATTATTCCAATTTATATCGTAGGTATGCTCAATTTTTTGCTGGTAGAACTGTATTTTTCGATAAAGATGGTCGAATGAGTTTCGTCGTCCTTTTGTCCTTCTGAAAGCGAGATAGGAAAGCGAAATTTATAGGAATATGGTATTCCAAGGCCGACCCCTTAAAATTCAAATCTGAATCTCCACTGAATCACGGTGTTCGTCTTCAGAAGACGCGAAGCGTTAAATCATTAATCTACAACTTCCGCTTTGCATGAATTACAACAATAGTACTCGATGATGATGATGATGAGGAGGAACTAATTTCCCAAGAGCCGAAATCATCTTTCTCCAATATGATTCTATCCTTCGAAGGGGAGATTATTCACATTCTTTTGGCCTTTTTTATTCCTTTGGTTTGATGGCTATCTCACAATAAGAGCTTTCTGACAGTTATTTGCGACTTTTGCTGCAATTGGGTGCACAATTACCCAACACCGCTCCCCCGCCCTCCACGTCTTCCCTCTCCCTGAAAATTGCGTATTCGGAGTGTACGTCATCTTACTTTTTAGTTGTACCTTCTAACTTTTATATTAATTGCTCTCCTAACGTCTGTTGTTTGCTTTTTTTGGAAAGCTTGAAAATTGCGCTTCATTTTCACCATATTTGGTAGATCAGTGCACCAGCTGAAATTATTGATTTATTTCCAGCTTCAATTTTCCGCCATTGATGTTTCTCTATCGCGCGATCGCACCTTCAGCGGTCATGGCTACATGATCTGTTTTTTTAGTTTATTCGGTAAAGAAAGTCTTACAGGTAGATGTTGTAAACATTAGAGTGCTGTTGTGGCCAAGCATCTCGGCTGTCAAATCGGATGTCATGGTTTATATTATCACCTGGGGGTGTGTGATGGATTTACCTCCACGTGGTGCACCTTGGGCAACGTATACTCATACGGCAAAAACGTCTATTAACTGGCAGTTGACTTCAAACTACCATGACCCCACTGTATGTCATATTCGACTACTTTCACAGTACTCATCCCACCTTTTTTCCACCTTATCTACCTTCGTCTTTGATACACTCTTCTGTCCCCCTCCCCTCTTGAATTTTTTACACTTTGATGTTCCTTCCCCTCTGTGAATACTGAAGTCAACTAAAGGGTTAATGATAACAATCGAAACGCCTGCCATTTGATATAATAATAATAATATTATTATTATTATCACCTCGATCGATAAAGCGGTATCAAAATGTGATGTTTCATCAATTAGTCTAAAGGGTGGTGTTTTCTTTCTTGTTTCTGTTATCGCTTGACTCGTGTCTTTACTCTGATAGCACGTGCGTTTGCGTAGAACTGACAATGATTGGTTAAGTGAATTGGTATTTGCATAAATTCATCGTCTCCATAAAGTCGGCTCTTTGATATCTTTTGCCCTGTGGTATTTGTGAGTTATAAGTTCGGTTAAAGGTTAATTTCGCATGCTTTATGAAGTCAGATTTCGGCAAATGAGGGTTTGCATTTTCTTAATTTGATATTTTGATATTTGATAGATGCCAGAAGAAAATCTAGATCTCAAATTACACAAATTGTAAAAATAATGCCCTAGCTTGCATTGCATCTTTGAAGCTAACAAGTAATTTGTGACTTAATTTCTTTTTTCTATTCTTCTTTTCTCGTCTATGAACTTCAGTTTTGGTGTTGTCGAACTAAGACATTTCAAATTTATAGTGGAGTGGGGGTGGGGTAGTACACTGACTATATCCATACGTTCATTAGATGCTCTCATCATCAATTTTGAGCAGAAAAATGGGATGAGGCCAACAAACTCTACGCCCATTAATTGCCTGTGGTTAGTGGTGAATTCCTTGAGATTTAAATAGTACTGTGATTACACTTTTCTATCTCAACAAAATGGAGTTAGTCAATATCTTGCGGTAATTATTTCGCCCGAATTAATCACGTGAGTCATTACTGCACACTCCTTATTTGCACTGTAAAGTAAGTCTTTAAATGTATGAGCACCTTTTTATAGATCTTAGTTCGGCTTTTTTTGCCTTTGAGATAATTTCGTCAAGATCTTGAGTGATTTCACGCGTAAAACCTACACGGCTTCTCTGCTCACACCTAAATTGGTTGGCGCCGTCTTGCATGCTAGTTGAAAATTCTACTTGAATTCACTATCAATCTTGGCAAATACTGCCATTTCTCAATAAGCGCTTTTTTAATTACTCTTACTCTCACCCTTTATTGCTACATTTGGGAGATTTAAGGGCTTGTGAGTGACTGGTCCAATACTCTCCCTTGTGGGGCCCACTATTTAATTAGCGTTTTATTGACCAGAACCAAAGTGTTTATGCGGGTTTAGTTATTAATTGATCTGGTGCTGGTAGGAGGGGGGGGGGGGGGGGGGAGGGCTTTTAAATCCGCTGATTTTGTTACGTTTTACTGTAAGAACATTTTGTCAAAGGATCTGTGTAATTTCTAGACTGTTGGCCCAGTGCACCTTTGAACCATAGCACTCAAAATGGAATGCGATACAATTGTTACATATGCTTGTGGTTTTATTAGATTTTTGTTCTCTTAAGGAGTGTGTCTTATTTCACAGTGTCCTGTGTTAGATTAATTCCAATCAACGACTCATTGATTTGTGGATGAAGTTTTGTCCACAATAATAATTCGGAGCTTTTTGCTCGTTTGCTAATCCCCGATAAATCTAGCAAATTAACACAGGGAAGAGAAAATGAGTTTGGGAAACTCACGTCGACTCTTCTCACAAATTACCTTCGAGTACACACACGTGTTTGATTCCCCATCGATTTGCTGATTGTAGTTTATGCGAAATTCTGATTTTCCACCTTCTCGTCCTCTTTTCCACTTTTATCTTCGCTCACTCTTAGTAGCACAATATTATTGAGGCAGCAAAAGTAAGAACTTTCTTCCATCTTCTTCTTGTCACTTAGCTGCTGCTGTAAGTAGCTTACAAGTTGTCATTCCTCTTACTTTCTTCCACCAACTTACTGCGCAGTACTTTTATGCGCACATTTGTTTGCCAACATTGCGTTAGTCCTCTTTCTTCAATTCCGTGTATGAAGTAGCCCTGGCGTTCACCCTGTTTGGACAAAAAGTCCTACACGTTCACTGCTGTTCTGCTTAAGCTTCTACAAACCGCACCTTAGCGTGGCAAAAGTGTACACCAAAATTCCCAATCCTTTTTTTCTATGTAAAACTAATAGTCCTTCCAATGGGCTTGTATTCTGGAATATTAATACAGTTGCAATAAGTGTGCATTACTAAGACAATATATACCTTTCAGATTTGAGTTTTCAAAGTATATATATATGTGTGGGGGGGGGGCAATTTACTTTTAGCCTAGGGATAAGGATTTGTACCGATCTGCCATTTTAATTCCTTATTGTCCATTGTTCATGCTTCTCTGAGTACTGTAGAAGTTGGACGCATTCCTTTTCAATGTCTGTAGTCCTTTGGACTCATCTTCTATTTTACCCTAATCAGAATTTCAACCCACTTCATGCACAATTCTTCATTGTTTATATCTGTAAATACACGGTGGCAGTCTTTGTGTGTGTGTGTGTGTTGGTGAGACTTTTAAAGATTCATCTATCTACCTATTGTCGTCCTGACACTGATTCCTTTTTTTTCTCCTGCCTCCTCTCCTTGCCTTTGCGGTCGCCAGAACCCTACAACAAAATGAATCACCCAAACGCCGATTGGTTTTGTATTCGCTTCTTTTAATTTGGCCTTTTTTCAGGTTTATATATCACAAGATTTATTTATATCAAATGGCAGGCGTTTTGATGGTTATCATTAGCCCTTTAGTTGACTTCAGGTTTCACAGAGGGGAGTAGGTACATAAAATTGAGAAAAAGTCGAGAGAGGGGGGGGGTGAATAGAAGGGTGTTTCAAAGATGTAAAAGAGACAAGCACAAAGGCAGATAAAAGTTGAGATGAGTACTGTGGAAGTATTCGAATATGATGTACAGTGGGGTGATGGTAGTTTGAAGTCAGAAGTCAACTACCGGTTAATAGACTTTTGCCGTATAAGTCTATCGCACACCCCGCATCCGTATAATGAGTCGCATAAAAATAAAGTCCGCTTTTATTGTGTACCTTGAAGAAATTAAGTGGAAACTATGGCACCAAGGGTGTTTAATCTATGAAATGCGTTCTAGGTGTTGACCTATTCTCCACATTAAGGCTTACTTCTACTTGTTCATGCGGAACGTAAAAGTGTGCATCTTAAAATATCTCCAATTACTAAAGCCACTTTGAAACTACTCCTTTAACTGTTTCGAAATATGAAAATAGAGTCGAACGAAAGCTGATCCCTTCTAATCCCTGGATCAGTGCAGTGTGAAGGTACATACAACTTTTCAAATCTGTTTTAGGAAAAAATGCACTTTTATGCGCAATAAGTACATTTGTATAGTCATTTCTATTTAAATTTTGTTATCGGGTGATTGTTTTGTTGGGATATATTTTGGCACTAGTTTTTTTTCAAAACTCCTTTTCAGTAGCTATCAAGTTCTCCTCTATTCTTTAAATTTTCTTAAATTCGCAGAATTCTTTATCTTCAAACGAGGCGTTTTTCATCATATCTACTCTGCCTTCTTCTCTTTCGCAATTTGATTATCCTTTTTCTTGGTATTTAATATCTCCCTTCTCTTCGGACAAGAATTGTAGTCTAGCCGGTAAAAGTGCAGCAAACAAATCCTTGAAGCCACACCTTCACGTTTTTATCCACCGAAGTAGTCGCGTGGCGTTTGGAATGGGTCGATTGATACCACAGCAGTTAACAGTAGCGAATGTCAATATTATTTTGCAGCAACACAATTAATTACTCGCTTTTCATTATACTACTTGATAAAGGTTAATGTACAGGCGTTGCAGTCTTTGAACACCTTTTTTCTACTCCAAGTAACCTCCAAAATATCAGGCGAGATTATGCTTTACTACAATTGGCATTACACGCACCCTCTCCTTCATTCATGCGTTCGCCTAATAGCCATAGTGTGAGTTTATACCTATTTACCAACGTAGTTGTGCGCAGACGGGGTATAAATTAACGATGAAATGCCAACAATTCGTTTGTTGGTGTTGCTGGAGCCTTCTCTTCGCTTTCCCTCTTCTTCTCTCTACTTGGCATTTTTGATAGACTACCCTCCCTCTGTGTGGTGTGGAAACTGGTAGCTACTTGTTGCTACTAACACTGCTAGAAGCCTAGAGGTATAATTAATCTGAATTCAGCCATTGCTGCCACTTCTACCCTTTTCTTTCTTTTCGTAGGCACAAAAAATGGATCGCTTCTACTGGTTTACTTCTTTCATGCACTTGTGCGGCTATAATGCCAAGGGAAATAACCGGTTTTGAATTCAACAAGAAGGCTTTTGCTTGCCTATAACACAGTCAGAGAGTTAATATCATTTAAATCATTCTAAAGGTACCCTTCAGATCAAGTAACTAATCATAATGATTAATCGATTGTGGATGCAGTAAGCCGTTGATGTGTTTTTTTGATAAACTCCTCTACTGGCAAGTTCAAGTCTCACGTCACATCACTGCATAGTTATTTATCCTGGAACATCTTGACTTATTGATTATTGAGCCACCTTGTGGAAGCATTTGCTGCTTTTGTGAAGCTCTATGTGTCCGAAATTAATATTTGAGAACTCACAATACTCTTGTTTTATTCGAGTTGTGTTCAGGTCGCTAAATCTTAAAAAAATGCAGTTGAGTTTATTTATCGTGTGGTTAAGTGGTAAATTGAAGTAACTTTGTTTCTGTGATTAAAGAATTTCTCGGTTTTAATCTTATCTAGGATGAAACTAGCTGGATCTAGCAGTGTGTGCGTGCGTGTGCGTGTGTGTGTGTTTATATGCGAATTCGACTTGACTATGCGGTGATAAATATTAACACTGGTCTTCTTGACCTCTTTTCGTTTGATAGACTCTAGCAGCTGGACGATAGGATAGCCTTAGCCACCTATGAGGTCAAGACCTCGACCACCCCTCTAACTCCATCCTAACTCTAGGTCAAGGGGAACGCTATTTCGACCCCGTTACGTGGATCTTGCCATCATTTAACCCAAATGTGTTGGCTTTGACGGCAATTTTATGTTCTCTAGAAGAGTACTTTCGGCTTTATGGAGCATCGTAGCTTAGGCAAAACGTGGTCGCTAAGATTAATTAAATTTTTAAAAGAAAACCAAACCACTGGAAAATATTTCATTCAACCACAGCACCCATGTCCACAAATGTCTATCATAAGATGCAAATTGCTTCCTTTCCCAAATGAATCGAATCCTCAGTGAGCTTAACTTATAAGAAATTTATTGAACAGTACAGATTAGCCCCCCATTATTGTCCGAATAATGGCATCATTCATCTGCTTGGTTCCAATTAGTCTCCCTAAGACGCATTACCACTCAATTCCAGGAAGCATACTCGGGATAGAGCTCGGATCTCAGACACCAACTTCCCTCCGATTACCGCCTGGATATGAATTCTCCTCCCTGCTGATATCCTACTGATCACCCTTCGATCACTTGTCATTTCGTGCATCTAATTTCAACCAGTCAATCGTGACCTCGTAACGACTGAGTCGCTTCTTCAGTTACATGTCTTTTTTTCTAAGTTTACTTATCGATCGTCTTGCTATACTTCGACAAATGCCTAGTGTTTTCTCAGTAACTCTCTTTGAATTTATTATCTAGCGAGATAATTTGCGTTGAGGGTAATTTGGTGCTTTACATCCTGTGGACTACTTTGTGGTGTTTGCGCTAACGTTATAAAGTGGCCGTTTCAAAACATGTGTTGTTACTTATTTTTTCCTATAGCACTTAAAAACCATCCTGTTTGGGCTATCAGATGATTGTTAAACTCACTGCTATTTAAATGGGCGCTTCATTAGTTCAAGAGGCTACTTTCTCGTTTTCACCTAAAATGGCAAAATTAGCCACTAAATTTCTTCACTGGTGTTTTGAACATTATGGAATTCTGTTTAATTGTACTAGGACTTGTTTGTGCATGGTGGTCATCTGGTAAGTAGAATCCTAAGGTCACGTTAACTAATGGCATTAGAATTCTCAAGACCAGTCACATAAATCGTTTTGAGTCCTACTTCTCAATTAAATTTTGCTTGCACGCATTCAGGTACCAACCAGACAAACTTGTAATTAATTCTACACGCAGAACAGAAGAAAAACACTGCGTTTGTTGTAAATGGAAAGGGGTCAGCTTTCATGGGTATTCTTTGCAAAGAATAAGCTGATTTGGACCTTATTTAGCCCTTAACTTAGATGATGAACCTATCCATTGTTAGTTTTCATAAAATACCAGTCAAGTTTCAAGAATTGGTTTTTGCCGAGTTATTTACCACTGCGCTTTGTTTTATTAATGGAAGCCTAAAATTTTCCAAATTCTAGCTAGCAAATGTGCATTGGACTATATTCTACTTTCTCTACACTCTGCATGCACAAATATTTATTGTGAACTGATCGGTGAAAAACTATTTTGTTAATTCGAGTATCCAATTAGCTTGGAATGCTTGAGTTAATGTAAACATTCATCAGTGAAGCCTAATGTCTATCGTCATGTGTCTCCAATCAAATGGTGTAGTAATCGTTCCACTCGTATTATTGCTTCCCATGGGTTTTCCTTCGCATGTGGCATAGCGAGAAATCTATTAACTTTTTCTAACAGAAAGTTCATTTGTTTCTTTTTTGATAGTCTGTGTACTATTTCTGTTCTAATTTTTAAACTGTGACTATTTGTGTAGCGTGTTAGGCCCAAGTGGATAATACCTTTTTGAGTAGACGATTCGATTAGACTCCATTGATAATTGCTTCATTAGTTTCTACCGCTTCGGCTTACTAATCGCATGCCTAAGATCGCGCAAACAAAGCATATCGATTAACGAAATTCATTTCATTTCCTTTATCGATCGATCGATTAGAATGTTTCTATCTAAAACTCGATTGAATATCCACGTTTTCCTTGTATTTTCCTATTTTTTACCGTATGTTAGTTTCCTCGGTTCATCTTTATCAATTACTACTGACTAATCTTATCGGCAAACAGGTTTAGTTTTTGGTTCCCATGAGATTTAACCAACAATTCAAATTTGTTGTTTTAATGAGTAGATGTATTATTTTTGTACGGCAAAATGATTTCGAGCTTTTGGTGTTGGAAATTTAGTGTGTTTTGAACTCCTACAATTTATTGAATGCAGCTCATTTTAGCGTTTAATCGCTGTTGTTTAAAATTAGACATCATCTTGCTTCTATTCTATATAGTTTTGAATTCTATTTTCACTTAATCTTAAAACGATGAAAAAATTACTTTGGTGTTATCGTATGTTTCGGGAGATTCTATTCTCGTATTATTGTCTCCAATGCCAATCTCTTGGGATGTATCGTTTAATGTCGCTTGAAAGATTTTAATAAACACGACTAACCTTCGAATGGGGGGTGGTAGGTTCATGTGTTCGATTTTCATTTGCATTTATTCAGTGATTGGTGTGACCGACCATACTCGTTAAAACTGTTAACGGAATTGAGCTTTTTCATCAAATGTTCCAGGATGGTATTCGTCCACTCAAGGTGAGTGTAAGAAAGTATATTTCTTCAGTGAACTAGAAACTCAATAAACCCCCCTAAACCTGGGTAGAGGGGGGATATATTGCAATAGCTCCATTGAGAATCTCACATTCTGTCACCCCTCTTGTTGTCGATGGTTAACTGGTGCGATTTGGCTATCCAAATCACTGGATTTTTTCCGATAAACATTGTTCTATTGTCTCTAACTTGATCACTACACCTTCATAAAATAAAGTTTATTTCTTCGAAACGTTCGTAAGTTACCACCACTTTCTCATATTAGATAATATATTCCCACATAACTAAGGCAATAAATCTGTTTTTTTCTCTCTCCCTCTAAGCGTCGCGCCTTTTCTCCCCTGTAGATAAACGCGGTGGACCAAGATGGTCGAACAGCCCTGCACCACGCTTGCAGTCTTCAACGGGTTCATCTCGTTTGTCTCCTGCTTCGACGACTGGCTAACCATGAGATAAGGGACAAGGACGGTCGTCGACCCATTGATGTTGCAATTGACACCGCGCATGCTGACATTGTCACACTTCTACGTCTGCAACCCCTTCACAGTGATTCCAGGGTTAGTCAGTGGTAGTTTGATTAGTACTTGTGTGAAAATTAGGTACTACCTTTATAATTTGTTTCACGTGTCTAGGACCAACTAGTCAGATGTTTACTTTGCTCTTTTATGTGTAGCTTTACAGTTTTTTTCACTTTTGGCATAGAAAAATTTCGTTATTGTTCGCTAATTGGTTTAGCCACTGAAAATCAAATCATAGATGATAGAAAGCGTGAAATCAGTGTTCAGACATTTTCTTTGAAAAGAATGTTTTTTATTTATTTAATCTAATCATTTAATGCTAAATACGTATTCAACAGTTGAGTGGTTTGTTTCCATTTTCCGGAATTTTCAATCACACTTCTAGTTATAATTTTTTGGTGAAGATCTTTTGATTCTTTTGAAAATTTGATCTGAGTAAATTTGCTATATCATATCAGCGATTATCTGTACGCAATTACAGACTGTTAATTGACTTTGAAGTAGAATTTGATAATTGAAAGTCGGTATGAACACGATCGCATGTGCAATTAAGGCAGCATTGAAAATGCAGAACCGATGCCAACACGTGAATCGGCGTGAAGGTAAGAAGACGAATGGGTCAAAGCATTTTTTTCTGATTATTTCTTTTACTTTTCTGAACTAGTATTTGACTCTCTTCACTCCTTGCAGAAATAACTTCCCTGTGGCAAATAAATCTATTCCCCTTCGCTTTACTGGTGTGGATGTCATTTTATTATCCCCTCAAAGGCTCCCACTTCTCCTAAGTAATTTCTTCAAACCCAATAAAAAAATTGAACCATTTTCAAAGTTTTATTTTCCGAAGTAACTGAGCCACTAATATCACTTTTGGCTTTGGTCATCTCCTGTTTTGCACCCGCCGCCACACAAGCTTTAAAATGTGCGTCTCAAGCAGGCCATTTTGCACACAGAAATTTTGTCAGTCGCCTTTTTTTGTAAGCTTACGCAGTAGTACATTTGGCTCGACGTTTGGCTAATTTTGCTGTTACCATCCAACCAAGTCATCAATTTAGTGTTGATCTTTCCCCAAACCACAATGATTCACTCTCTTCCAAACTACTGTAAACCGTAAACGAGCTGCAATCAGGATAACTGCAGTCTGTCTGAAGACATAATTACAACAATTTTTCTACTACTGGTTACTGTAATTCAGGTCCCGCAGCTGAATCATTCTTTAAAAGTGTTAACTAACCGCACGTCATCGAGTAACTATGACTAAATTGTTTGCACTGTTTTTTTTCTTATTTAAAAGTCATCCAGTTTTGTCAAACAGTGGTCATTTATCCCATCTAAGCACATTTGCGATTACAATTTAATGGAAGTTTCTTTGTTTTGATTTTTTTCACTTTTGGACACTTTTTAAAAATGTGGTTTGGGGAAAAGTCAATTCAAGCTTTGAATCTGTCCTGTTTTCTTTGGAAATACTGTCTAAAGGAAATTGAATGCAATTCACGTACTTCCTTTTTTAATGTTTCCCCTTCTCTTTAGCGAGTGATTAAGGGAAAGAATAACTTTCCAATAATCCCATGCATTTTCTTTTCTGTTAATATATATATATATATATATATATATATATAAGCTTGTTTTTCTCTACAAATCATAAGGAAACAAGCGATTTTTTGAATTTTCAAAGCCTATGTTAAAAATACTTAAGAGATTTTGATAAATTCCGGTATCCTATGTTGTAGAAGATTAATGGAGTAAATTAAACCTACATTCATTAGAATATTTGAATGCCTAACTGCTACGAATATTTTACCAATCAAAATTATAATTTGATAATAATGAATAGCTCTTTTGAGTAGATTATTGATCCATCAACCACGGGCAGTGGCAAGGATGACACAGCGGTTGAGGTGTTCCGTGACTTCACAACTCGAGCGTATCATCTGGAATGGGATAGTGAGGAGGAAGATTACCATGAGTCCTCGAACCAATCAACATCTCGAGATCGGTCTTGAGTTGCTGTCACCACGTGTAATATGACTTTTATCGCCATCAGGACACCGCACGTCTTTCAGAGTTTTGCCCCACCTGCCCTCTTTTTCCAAATGCCTGAAAAGCTTTACTTTATCAAAACTGTTCATTCAAATTATTCATTCTCTCTACCATCATCACATGTTAATTTTTGTTCACTGCGATGTTCAACCGACCTTATGTTATTGAGAAATAATATACTTTCTTGGTTTTTAATAGGCAGTCATTTACCGATCCGACATTTTAAACAATTAAACTACGGTTGTTCAGGATTCTAAATATTTCGCATTTTATAAATAGCCGAGACACATGAATGCTTAAATAGTATCGCTGCCGTGGTAATGCCTAATTTGAGATATCAATTATGTGGTAGGACAGGTAATCAGCATATGCTTATACCTATCGGTTAAATTTAATTTGTGGAATATTACGACTTCGATGTTTCATAAATGTCATAAACAATGCTCGCATTACAAAAATCAACTAATAAAAATATGTACCACAGAAATTGTGCTCAGAAAAATCGTAGGGAGAAGGGATCATAAGTCATTAGAACTGGTTAGCGCCAAATAATAATCATAAATATTTTTTTAATAAAATTATTGTTGGGTAAAATAATGAACCATACCTCATTATTAGTTGTAATTAACTGTACAATGATCTTTTTAATCATTTACGACTATTTAAAAATTGAAATTTTTAAATTTACATATTTTAAAGCTTAAATGGAATAATTGAACTCATTTTTAATGCTTTTATTTTCTCTAGGTCGCATATTTGTATGTACTAGATTCATGCAAAACACTACGGCCTGCCAGCGCATCTTCTGAATGCGGATTCGAAAAATATGCATCGCTGTTACGTTCTTAACATTATTCCAGTTTTTATTATTGTACAGGCAATATCAGAATGACGAAGTAGTTTTGGATGAATCCATAGAAGAATCCAAACCAATAGCGAAGGAAATCCGACATCCAGTAATGTGTTCCCATTTCTAAATTATTTATATATTTTTAGCGAATACTACCAAGTAAACGTTATGAGAGTGCCACCGGATTCAATTTAAAAATAGCCGTTTTAATGCTGGCTTGCAATCGGATTGATATGAATCGGTCTTTGAGTCATTTAGTTGAATATAGATCGAAGTTCCCCAATGGCCGAAATCGGTTTCCTATATATGTATCACAAGATTGTGGTGATGCACGTGTTCTACGTTTGTTAAGCTCTTACGGAAATCAAATTACTGTTCTTAACCAGCCAGATCACTCGGAAACCAAGTTTGCTCATATTCAAAAGAACTTAAAGGGTATGTTTATGCATTAATTTCTCTATTACGAAACATGCTTTTCGTTTGTGCGTTGATATTTTCTATTACTTTAATCATTTTGTATTTTTTCTATCTCAGGTTACTTCAAAATATCACGTAATTACAAATGGGCACTCGGTCAGATGTTTGATGTGCTCCGATACAACTTGACACTTGTTGTTGAAGATGATTTAGATGTATCTCCAGATTTCTTCGACTATTTCTATGCTCTTGCACCTCTTCTATTGGAAGATAAAACTCTTTTCTGCATCTCGGCGTGGAACGACAATGGCAAACCCTCTCTTATTGACCTTTCTCGCAATGATCTCCTATATAGGTGAGTTGTTTGTTGTTTTCATTCTTGTCAGAGTTGTTTAAATGACATGTCGAATTTGCTGGTTTATATAGATTAATTTACTATATATCGCTTCAGGTTGTGTTTTCTGGCATTATCTTTGCTTGTTATATGACACGGGTTTTGAGGTTTATTCGTATACATCTGATGACCAGAAGTAGCAATTACAGCTGTGGTTTTCCCCGGTAAGGCTCTAGTGTGTGGATTCCTTAATACTTTTACTATTTGCTTCCACCACCACTGCAAAAGCAAGCTCTCCTCTACCTGGTCAGTGAGCACTGAGCATTTTTAACAAACATTTGGTGTTATCCAAGTGGCGAATCGTGAACTTTGAATTCATTCATTTAGTAACTATTGTATAACCGAATTTAAAATCATTCTTGGTATTTTTCCTGAACTTCCATCGGAATAGCTTTTAATATTTGTTGCGTTTTTTCACCTCTCCAGAAATCCACCAAACCGTCTATGCATTCGGTCTGGCTATTAATGACTTCAACAGCTTTTTTAAGATTTAAGATTTGCATATTTTTTCTCTATCTCTCCTTTTGGTGACTGAAACCGTAATAATACCCTCTGATTTAATTTTTTAGCTCTGAGCCTATTAGCTTGTATAGGGTAAAGAACTGGAAAAGCATTTTTCAAATTTTAAAGTTTTGAACATCACATTGGCTAATTCAATAAATCAATTTACTGAAATTCGTATTTGTGTAATTTTTTTTAGATTTACTTTTTTATGGATTAGTTCTCGGTAAGTTTTGCTATACCTAGATAAAGTAGGACAAAATTTTTTTTTATTGGCAAAAATTGCATTATGCTTATTGTTTTTTAAGGCTTAGTAAAGGAAATATTTGGCCACAGTGCAAATTTTATGGAATAAATCTCTTATTAGCTTATATGGAATTCTAGAATTTATCTTGGTTAAAAAAATCTTCTCCAATAGTTATTGAGGCGACCAATTGTTTTCGATTTAGCTCGATGAATCGTGTGGTAATTGTGTTATGTGTAACTCTTAAAATTAGCGTCCTTTTCAAAGAAGACTTGTGGTTTATGCCGCACTGCCAAGACTATTCGACAACATCTCACACAAGCTAGATCATTTCTTAAACTGCAGTGACTGATTGTTTATCAACCACTCGCGGACGTACTTGTAGTGCACTAACACCCGATCAGAGTTCAATATTTGTGCAGTGTCTGTGATTGCTAGGCATCTGCGATAAACCCTCTCCTGTCTTCTCACTTTAGAATACCCTGCCTCGAAATTAAGGAATACTTTAAGACCTATTATACTTGTCTCCAGTTAAATTGATTTATTTTTCAAAGATTAGGGAACTTTAATCAAGGACTGGTTAGTGTGTGTATTAGCAAGAGAATTATGATATAATAAAATTTTAATTTTTCTGGCATTGTTTTCTGACCCATTTAGTTGCTCACGTCATATTTTAGTAAAAAAAGATTTGTTGGGCTAATTTAGCTAGAGGTTGTCTTCGTGATTTTAAACAAAACTTCTATATCTCACTTATTTCAAAGGACCCCTAGCCAAGACAAACAGCGGGTAAACAAATTTGACCCAATGTTTTAAATGTGTCCAAAATTATGAATGCTTTAACTGCATCTGACATATGTAAGAATCATCTATAAAAATTCCAATTTCGAGTGCAACATAATTTGACGTCATATTAATTTTCTATTATATGGACTTCAAACTTCCAAATAAATATATTGTAAAGCTACTTAAATCTGTAAACTACTAATTTAAGTAGTATTTTCTTTTTGGCATCATGATTAGAGGAGCTTGGAAATGTAATTCATCATGTTTGCCCACCAGACAAAACTCAAAGTTTTAAATTAAATTAAACACTAACTTTTGGGTTCGTCATAGCAAATCTTTAAGAGGTTTTACTTGAATTCGGAAACATTTCTACTCCATTAATGTATAAATAAGCTGAGTCGACAAGACCATCCACTCAATTTCAACAACTGACTTATATGTTAAAAGATAATAAACAGGAATTTCTTTCTGTAATTCAAACTGTGAACAGTGGGCATTAAAATAAACTATGTAAGCGGAGAAGCCAGTACTGAATTAAGAGAGGGAGAGAGGAATGGGGGGGAGGGAGGGAGGGGGGGGGGGAATTCCCATTGCTCATATTGATTGACTTGAAAGAGTTGTTGCAAGTCGTTTCACTGATTTTACATTTTCGTCCTTCAAATATTTAGTCTCAAGAAGCTTTTCCCCCAACATTTTGATTTATTCTATGCTTATTTTTCCATAATGGAAAGATTTTAAATCCCATTGGCACTCGCTTCCATTGTGTGTTTTCATTTTAACTACAAAGTCTGTTTTCTCCTCATTTGCCCCCTGTTCTCATTAAAATCTTGCCTACCTGCTTTCTTCTCACATGCCATGTGCGTCCCAGGCCAGAATGTCGATTTGAATTCAGGCGGTACACTGATTGCTAGCTTGTGGTCGAATAAGTCTAGTGTTCTCTATTCCCTCCATTTCATTGCGCACTTGTCTTAAATAAGCAGACATTTGGCTACCATATTATCTCCTTCACTTCATATCCAGGAGATAAGCATTGCTTTCTTTACCTTCTCTTCGCATTCAACTATACTCAATGTACTAAATAGTCTTAAATTTTCGTGAATTTCGTGCGTTCTAACTTCTGGCTTAGTTTCTGCTAATATAACCTAGTCCCTACGGGTTGCAGTATGATTTCTATATTATAAGATAATTATTTTTATTGCAGTCATCGTAAATGATTTGATTAATAGAAAGAGAGAGTGCCAGTTTGGCATTCAATGTCGATGTCAAGTTAATTTTTCACATGATCTCTTCGGCTTATACCCAACTGTTCTGAACTTTAGAATGATTCCATTGGTTGATTGTGTGCCCTATCGCCCAACATTCTACTTCGATTGTTGGTGATAATGCTGTGTGCAAACTAGAACACTATTAGTTAAATTGAAGACGAAAACTTGAGACGTCTTCTGCAGACTGTTAGCTATAAACGCTATTCTCTTGGACTTCTTTTTCATGTATTTGCTTACGAATGTAGTTTTATGTTATAAAATTGGCCATTGCATTTTCACATTTGCACTCAGTAATGAAACCCCGGACAACTTTTTTTACCGTTGCTAATGCCTTCGTAGGAACATTCAACAATCTTTTTCAATCGTCTAATATTCTTATTACTGGTGGAAATGCGTTGACGAGGATTCGTTGTAAGCGATTTGCAATTTTATTCAGATCGTTGAACTCCCAACAGTTAAGTCACACCGAGAGGGTTTTGTTTGCTAAACTAAATTTCTGTTCAATTTCAGTAGAATTTGAAACTCCTACTTTTACCACACTTCATAAATGATATTTCGCTGTTGGCTTTCTATTCCATCGGTAGTAAAACTTCTATCTCCTGGCCTCTGAATTGACAGGCGTGAAATTTAGTTGCTATGCCATCCGTGTGTTTTATTGGAGTCTATCTGAGCGAGTGTTCGGGG